AAATACATATTGACAAGCCACAATGCTTCTGAGAGAATGTACTTTGGACAGATGAGGCAAAACTAGAGCTTTTTGGTAAATCACATAACCTTTATGTTCACAGATGAATAAAAATTAAGCTGTCAAAGAAAAGACAACAAAACTATTGTGAAAACATGGAGGAGATCCAGTTGTGTTTTTGTTAGAATACACATTACTGTGTTTATAGCAACAACTTCTGCAGTATACAATTTCGGTCACTAGATGGCAGTGTTTAAAAGTTCTGTTATATCTATGGTATACTCTGTTGTATTGAAAAAGGTAGATAATAAAGTGTGACTTCCTTCCTGTTTTCCAGCCATGAGCAGCATGCATATCAGACTGTGTGCTTGTGTTTCTCTGTGAGGCTGTGCAAGAAGTTCCAACAGTTTTGAGGCTGCTTTGCTGCTTCTGACATGGGGTGCCTTGAATTTCTTCAGGGCACAATACAATCTCAAGACTATCAAGGATTCGTTTTTTTTTTTTTAAATAAAGGTTTATTGAGTTTTACAAAAGAGATACACAATACATGCCCATAAAAATACAGCTAATGTAGTAAAAATTGTTCACTATACACTGAGTGGCCAGATTATTATGACCACCCCATCAGTGCTTCGTTGGGCCGCCTCGTGACTCCACGAGATGACTTCGTTGGGCCGCCTCGTGACTCCACAATATGTTGAAAGGTGATGCGAGGAATCTGACACTGCACTGTTGCCCTTCTGTTGTCTTGTACCAGTCTTGCCACTCTCTGTTCTGTCCTAACATTGACAAGTCGCTGACGGCCACAATTCGCACGTTCAGACCCAGATTTTCGGCTGACAGTCCAGTCTTTAAACACTTTAACAGTGAGCCCCTCTTGAACATTTAACGAATTCTGCTGTTTTACTGATACTTGCTCCATGGCTCCGAGCGCCAACAATCATCCCACGTTCAAAGGATGTTAAATCGCGTTGTTTACCCATATCTTCAGAAAGAAATCACTTCTACTGTCGTGGTAAACAACCTGCTTCCCTATTTATAATGGTCTGGTCCTCTAGCAACTTCAGAGCGAAATTATAGCTAATTATAGCTAATTTGCCTACAAACGTCAGGTGGTCATAATAATCTGGCCACTCAGTGCATTTAGGAGCTGTTAACACAGATTGGTTAGTAGTATCAGAAGGATGGACCATTCCACCATCCCTATGAGAACAAAGAGAAGTCAAGAGTGCCTGAGGAGAGAGAGAACAGGGGGGAGCTATGGTTATAGAAGGGAGAAAGGGGAGGATGTGCATGAACGTACTCCACATCACTGGTTATAATACAGCAGAACAAGATCAGCCGGATCATGCAAGAGATCAAAAGATCTGCGTATCCATGTATAGGACCCAAGAGCTCCACAAGGCCACATATTTATATTGAGTGTCATATATTTCCATCCACATCAAAAGGCAAAGTCCAACCACACAGTCTTTGAGAGTAGGAATAGTGTCAACTGCCAATACCTATGGATAACTGTATGCAAAGCAGAAATTAAAAAGCGAGGCAATGTTTTAGAAAGCATGGTGCAGGGTTCCAGAGGGATGTCAAAAAGGCAGTCCATGGGGTATTAGATATTGTGACCCCTGTAACCTGTCAGTACATACGGAGAAAAAATTCACATAAGCGGTTTATGAGGGGCCAGCTCCACCAGACAGGTAGAGGGGTGCCTGAGAAAGACCCACAACGCCAACAAGTAGATGCAATCTGTAGGAAACTTCTGTAGAGTGTGTATACTAATGAGTTAAAGCGGACCTTTACACTCAAAAATCAATTTCTACCAATTTAAGTGTTGTACCTATGTTTTCTGTCAAAATTTTTATTGAAGAAAATTTTACAAAATATAAACAATAGAACAACAAGGGTTCCCCCACGGGGACAGTAACGATAAAACAAAACAAAACAGAAATCATGGTTTTTCTTAATAAGAATGCAAAGGAAATAAAAGCGGCTTTATGAGTCTAAGTCTCGATAAAAACCAACAACAAGTATCCAAGAGTGTACTAAATAATACATTACATTTGTCCAAACCAGGAAATCATAATGACAAAGTAGTAATAATAGAGCATTCCCAAAATCCCGCCTGGCCCCCGGGGGACAACGGAACAAGAAAGAAGAGGAAGTAGGAATATAAGGAAGCAACAGGAAGAAAGAGTCATAGACTCCGGAGTTGTAGCCATTTTTTATTTGTTTTATCATTTAAAATATTCCTCTGCCTGTCCCTTCAAAAAAAAAAAATATTCGGTAGAAGAAAAAATAAAGTTTGATTTTTATTAAAGTCAGACTCTAGGAAAAAATTATAATTTACACACAGCACTGGGTGTGTAAATGGTCATTACACAGCTGTGCGTTATGTGTGAAGGGCAGCTACATAGTAAAAAAACAAAATACCTTTCAGCATGCCGTCTTCTACACATAATGCCCAGCTTTCGGCCACTGAGGGGAGAAAGGGATGTGACTCGAGCAGTCAAGTGCTCTTCCCCGCGCTATCTTAAAAGTAAAAAAAGTAGCTCTGTGATCGAGCCGTAATGGTGGAACGCGTGAGAGTGTGAAGTTGTGTGCCAATGTACAGTTTATTTATGCTCAAGGATTGCACAGCATATGGAATATCTATTTCTGGAGTGCAGCTCTCCCTTTTTACACTTGGATCGAGCAGTGAAGTGCTCTTCCCCACTCTATCTTAAAGTAGAAAAAAAAAAGTTTTGCCTTTACTTCTACTTAGAAGTACACATAAATATAGGAAGGAGACGCTTGACAGGCAAGCATTCCTAACTGCCAGGTCTGAAAGGATGTACTGAACACTTGAACTGCATTTGTCAGACATTGTTTCACCCTGAATTAAACGTTGATGATGACATTTGTGCTGGGGTAAGCCAGTAATTCAGGGGTAGCCAAACTTCGACCCTTCAGCTTTTGTGGAACTCAAAGTTCCATAAGGCACTGAAAGACTCTGACAGCCACAGGCGTGACTTCCAGAGGCAGATGCATTATGGGATTTGCAGTTTCACTACAGCTTGAGGGCCAGATTTTGGCTACCCATGCTTCACTGGCTTCCCCCGGCAGTGTAGGCTTTGTCATAGCAGGCTGAACAGAGCTGGAAAAATACTAGTGCTGGATGTTCCTCAGCATCCAAAGCCCAGGTCAATATAAAGTTTTATCAGTTGGGACCATTTCCATAGATCCCCAAACCCTTTGGATATGGCACTATTAAATAAGGAACTATACATTTAGTACCGGGCCACAAAATTACTGTAAAAGTGCACGTTCGAAGCACAACAATGCTTAAGATGAAGATTCAATGGTGCCCATTCACACTGAAAAGCACACAAGCTTTTTTATCTGGCAGAATCAGGCATTTTGGCCCCATGGACTTCAAAGGGAGCGCCTCAAAATGCACAACACAAGCATTTTATCATGTTTTTGCTTCCAACAACTGGTCTCCTTCTAGCAATCTCAGGCCTGTGAACAAAATTGAGGGATTCAGGGGTATCCATGTTGGATGTGGAGGCTTTTATACACCTAGTGAGGGCCCACCAGAACCTCTATGACCCTACTGATGCCCATTACAAGAACCATGACAAGCGGAAGAAGGCCAGGGAAGAAAATCCCAGATTGGCAGCTCTGGTAGCACAAAACATCACACAGAAGAAAAAAAAAGGAGGCAGATACAAAGACAGGGACACATGATGTCACAGAAGATAATGCTTTGCATTAGCCCTCCCCCCCCATCCCCCCCAAAAAAAAGCCTGAGGTTTGTATACACATGAAAAAATACTTCAAATTTACCTGGAAATACTCACGCTCGTGTGAAAAGGGGCTAAATCTTGTAAATACCTGTGGTGTACCTACAGCCATAGCAGCTTAGGTGGCTGCTATGGGGCCTGGGGGTGGAAGGTGGCCCCATTAGGTTGTTGAAGCAAATTAGACATAAAACATATGACAATAATACAGTACTGTATCATTGAGGGTTGGAGTGGTTGCAGTTGATGACAACTCTAATCCCCTGTAAATTCTACAGTGTAGAGACGACTCACAACTCACAGAGAGAGGTCATCGGGGAGGGGGGGCATCACATTTTTGCTATGGGGCCCGTGATCTGTAGTTAAAGCACTGTATATAACACATTCTTCTCTAAATATTGCGTTTAACAAATGCTAACTCTGTACACCAGGACACATCAATAACTGGCAGAACAAAAATATATAATTTATAGATACACAGCACCAGAAAAATTAAAAAATGTATTGTATTCCCCTATAAATCAGGACATGTAATGATTGTGGGTTTTATTTACAAACAGTTGTTAGCGCTATTCGCCCTGTGAACATCTCTAAATGTTTGTTTTGTGCAAATACATGCAAAACGGATGTTCTTTGGTTTTGTTTTTTCTTTACAATTACAATGTAATAAAAAAAATTATAAATAAACAATTCCAAATGCTGTTAATGTGATATAGGATGTAGTATTGCATTATGGCCACTAGATGGAGCTGAGGAGCAGAGGGTAAAAACTACTTCTTTCCTATGCTCCTAGCGCCATCTACTGGCCATAGTGCAATACTACATTACATAATACATTAATAACATACAGAAAAACATTCCATTTGAAAAGAAAAAAAACAACAACTAAAGAACATTCGTTTGGAATGAATTTACACAAAACAAACGTTTAGATATAGTGTGCTTGGAGGGTCACAGACAAAGCCTGACTTCCCCCTATGTTATTTGGACTAGCAGAGCTTTGCTCCCCGCATCCCTAACAGGGCGCCCACTTCCTCTTGACAAACCACATGACACCGGGCGTATTATATTCTTTGCATATCACATGACACTGACAGGGACCACTGTTCGTACACGTTCCCTTGATTTGTCACATGAGATCGCGTAGGATAATCACATGACAATGGGCGTACACTCATTACATATCACATGACGGCGCACACCGTCCGTTCATTGACATGATCGAGTAGGAGACCGGAAGTTGCTCGTTCAGCTGTCAAGCGCTTCGGCTAGGGAGGCTCAGCACCGGCGATGGCCTCCATCCTCGAGGAATACGAGGACTCGTTGTCCCGGGCCAACCTTCCGAGCCAGACACGGGTGCCGGGGATCCCATTGTCCGGTGAGGCCTCGCAGCACAGAGGAGATTGGGCGCATGTCAGAGGGAGATTGGGATCATTACTGGGGTACTCCTGAAATGTCATGGTGTGGATGTGTGCCCGAGGCACGCTGCAACTTGTGGTTCCCCAGAGGAAACACACAATGTCATACAGCTGACCTGTCAGCACCGATGCACCTTTTTGTGTCCTGTTAGTATAGTAGGATGGTTGTCCCTTCACCTAACACAGTGACTGAGGGCAGTCAGCACCCTGCACAGACCCTTAGGCCCCATTCACACCTATATTTTAGGTGTGATTAGGGATTCTTGCATCCAGAACTTGCGATTTTCTGCAGCAGGAATCCCTAATCTGTGTTTACAATTGGCAGCTGTCACCCATTCAAGTTAATCATTAGGTGACAGTGGCTGCATTTGAAACCTGGCACACTGCATGTAATGGTATGTGATAGAAATCCATGCGGTTAGGAATCAATCAATATCCCTGGACACACTATCCAATAGGGAGGCTTGGTATTCAGGTCACAGGGACATTTGAGATTTGATTAGAAATTCTGCTGCACAAATCTGTGATCTATCCACTGATAGATACATATAAATGTTACCATTAATAAAAAATGGATTGCATTAGATCTATTAGGGATGTGCCAATACCAAGTATTTGGGTGAGTACAATTACTCACCCAAATGCTCCGATACCGGAACTAACATTCAGAGGGAGATCTCCCTCTGACCAGCAGTCCCGAGGGAGCATGGAGCCAGCTTCCTTTCCAAACCGGGAGGTAGGTTACTACCCTCCTCCCAGCTTCCTGATTCGCTAAGAAGCCAGCTTCACTTGTTGCTGGCAGCCTGGCTTCCTAAACAATCGGGAAGCCGGGTGGCACATAATGAATGGCTTTCTGACTGTTAAGGAAGCCAGGCTGCCTAGGAAAGTATAGCCGGCTTCCTAGCCAATCAGGAAGCCGGGAGGCAGGTCATGATGTTCCGCTTGGCTTCCCGATTGGCCAGCCAGCTTCACTTGTTGGTAGGCAGCCTGGCTTCCCAGCAAATCAGGAAGCCTGGCGGCACGTCATGACTCATGTCCTGGCTTCCTGATTGGTCAGGAAGCCACACTGCGCAGCAACAAGTGAAGCTGGCTGGCCAATCGGGTCATGGCATGCCACCCGGCTTCCTCCAATGTAAGGAAGCCGGCTTCACTTGTTACTCGGCAGCCTGACTCCGTGACCAATCAGGAAGCCGGACGGCACCTCATGACTCGCTGCCTAGTTTCCTGATTGGTCAGGAAGGCAGGCAGCATCGGCAAGTGAAGCCGTTGTTCTTTCACTAGAACACTCGCTTCCCAGGCAATTAGGAAGCCGGACGACGGTTCATAATCTGCCACCCAACTTCCTGATAATCGGGGCACACGACAGCGCTACTCGGTATCGGCATCGGCGGGTACCGTAAAAATAAATATTGGTACGCGATACCGAAAAGCCAGTATCGGTGCATCCCTAATATTTATTGTTGGCTCAGTGTCACGTGACTATAGGAACACTTTCCTGTATGTAGTCCAATGCTGTACAGTGTTTATCATCCTTTTTTCAGTGACAGCACCCTTTAAAAGTGTGTATATTCATGAGGCACCCAGTCTAAAATGTAAAAATCGATGTGCGTTCCCGCCAAAATACATACCAGACCTTTATCCAAGATAGGGATCTGGTATGGATTTTAATGGAGGACCTTATGCAAAAACATGAAAAGAAGTGTGGGGTCCCTCCTTCACATCAGGAGCCCCCTTATTAGAAGCCCCCGTCTTATCAGAGTCCTCAGTCCCCCTTTACATCTTGGCTTTGCCATCACATCAGAGCGGCAGAGGGCAGGAGGTGGAGCAAGCCTCTCCATGGTACATTATACCGCAATGCAGAATAATAGTATATGAATTTTCTACAAACTCTGTGCTGCCGCTTTGCTCTGGGGTGGCAGCCTGATGTCTTGGGCGGAGGGTCTCAGGAGGGGAAGATGTGGAGGGACTCGGGAGGGGGAGATGTAGAAGCGCTGAAAATAGGCGTCGCATAGTTCCCCAGAAGGCTGCCACGAGTTCCCCAGCAAGCGTGGGACCTACGGCAGCCGAATCGATTCGAAGAATTAAAGTGCCGGTAACGGTTTTTAGTACTCATGAAAATGCCCAGTATCGATACTGGCATGGGTGCATCCCTAATTGCCAGTGACAGTAGGTCAGGTCTTTCTAACAACGTCCAATGTATTTAGTGGTTACCTCTGCTTTCTTTTGTAATCTGCAGAATTTTATTATTTTTTGTTTTTTTAAGTACACACATTGTGAATCAAACACACAGAGGGGTTTTCTCAAATTTGACTGCAAAAGTGTAAATACCATTTTAAAACTTAGCTGGATTAAAGAGCTAGGACGGCGGGAACTGGTTGTTTTAAATAATTACATGGCTAGAGTTCTGCTTGAACTTTTTATAGGCTTGCAGTTTGTGTTTGTTTTCAATAGAAATGTCAGAAAGTTATCAGTTTTTGTGCATTCTTTGTGTGGTTTTAGTGATTGTTCTCTTTTAATATACTGTTGTGAACTGTTTGGTTGATTTTAGGCTATGTTAATGCACGACTAGAAAAGGAAACTCCAATATTCAACAAACAAAGGATTGATTTCACCCCTCCAGAGAATATCAACAGCTTGGCGGTGTGCAGTAATCAGCTGTGCATGAGCTTGGGAAAGGAGGCACTTCTCAGGTATGGTAGGAGCGTTGAGCTGTGCTAGAGGTCTGTTGGTGTCTTATCTATCTTGTGTTCATGGTTACTCTAACCACTTGACGTTTAAGAAACAGAGAAAGTTTCAAAATGTTTTGCGACTCAAGTGGTGAAAACAAGCTCGTGGCTGCAATAGAAGCTGTGACTCCCAGAAGCTGTTTTGTTCAGTTGACTCCCAGCTATCCAGTAAAAGTGGTCCAGGTGACTAGAGTTTGCTGATCCATTTTTTTAGGACTGTGAAGGTTCCTGATCGGCTCTGTGGTCAGTAACCCTGGAAACGCTGTCCTCTCAGCCTATCTGGCTTCATAGCTTTGAAACAGCCAATCAAGCACAGTCCTGTGCTTGAGTAGAGGGCAGGGGTAACCTTTTTATCCCATAGTTCTCTTTAGGGTCACAGGAGAACATACACTAACATCCTCCGGTGAACCAAAGCTCAATATATAGTGGGCTATTGCTGGCTATATACTGAGCGCCGCAGCCGGGACGGATCCCGACAATACTGCTGAGATCCACTCAGCTGGCTGATTGACAGCGGGCTCTGCCTATCTAGAGGCAGAGCCAGCTGTGCCCAATCCCCCCATCTGTTCCTCCAGTCAGCGCTGGAGGATTGGCGAGGGGAGGGGGGGAATCTCTGCAGGGAGATGATCGGGAAGTGAACAAGCGATGGTATGTGTTCGCTCACTTCCCAATCTATAGAGTCGAAGTGTGACAGTTTCATTATCAAACGTCGGCTCTAACTATGAGGATGAGTGAAAATCACTCACCTCCTAGTTCTCCTTCACTATTTAGATACCGTATTTTGCGCTCCATAAGGCGCACCGGTACATAAGACGCAGGCCGTTTCTGTCACAGTTTCTGTGACAGAAGCTGCAGTAAGTGACAGCTAGGACAGGTGGCGCTGTGATTACAGCGCCACGGTCTCAGTGATCACATGGAGCAGGCGCTCTAGGCGCTCTATGGCGAGCTCCTATCCCATGGTCACGGGTTCCCCAGAGGAGCGGGGGACCCGAAAACCACGGGGGCGCTGTTGCCGCTCGGTTTTAATACAAGTGATCTGAATAGATCACTTGTATTAAACAAGCAGCCGCTTCCACTGTACGTTTAGCTCTGCTTTAGCAGGGCTAAATGTACAAAAAACTAGGGATTCGCGCCATAAGACGCACACACAGAAAAGTGCGTCTTATGGAGCGAAAAATACGGTATTTAGTAAGGAATTACTGAACAGAACAAAATGAATGTAATTTTAATACTGCGGGATATATTTCACATGTCTGAATATGATTTGATTTGTTCCAGAAAGCAGAAGTATGCTTTAACATGTTTCTTTCTCATTTAGGATTGATTTAGTGAAAGCAGACCAGCCAAACCAAGCTGACCTTGGTCGTAAAGATGACTTCAAAGTCTACAAGATGTTTTTGGATCCCACAGGTGCTTTTAATTTAAAGTATTTGTGTATTTTCTATTAGAATGCTTGTATACTAAGTATACAGAAACACTTGTTTGAGAAGATATCCACCTCTGACTACCGTACTAAATTTATACAGGCATGTGAAAAATGAAGTAAACGCAACATATTTGAGCAGGCAAACATTAGATCTTCATTCAAACAGTGCCTTCAGATAAAGGTCATCTACTTGAATAAGAACACAAGGAAAAAAAATCATCTTTTCAATCATTGGTTCAAAATAAATTGTATACTGTGGATACCAGCTTGTGACAACTTTGGCATCACAAGCTGATATTGCAGAAATCACCACTTCTAGGTATTTTGTAAAACTGCTGACCAGTCTGCGACATTGACTCATTTCATGGAATTTTATACCACTTCTCAATGTAAAATTCCTTCAGTTGGAAGATGTTTGTGGTTTACTGACATAAACTGGCCATATCAAAATCCCCATACAAAATGTATTGCGTTGAATTTGCTGGACTGGACAGTTCTGTACACATTAGCAGTTGTTTGAAACCTATGCCACTATATATTTTCCCTACAATGGCTGATTTCAAATCGTTTGGCAATCTTTTTAAATTCCTTGTCAGGCTCATAGGCATCTCCAACTTTCTTTCTAAGAGCATTAGAGAACTCTGTTGATCTTGGCATGATGACACCACATACACTGAGTGGCCAAATTTATTATGACCACCCCATCAGTACTTCGTTGGGCCACGAGATGACTTCGTTGGGCCGCCTTGTGACTCCACGAGATGTTGAAAGGTGATGCGAGGAATCTGACACTGCACTGTTGCCCTTCTGTTGTCTTGTACCAGTCTTGCCACTCTCCGTTCTGCCCTAACATTGACTAGTCGCTGGCGGCCACAATTCGCACGTTCAGACCCAGATTTTCGGCTGACAGTCCAGTCTTTAAACACTTTAACAATGAGCCCCTCTTGAACATTTAACGAATTCTGCTGTTTTGCTGATACTCGCTCCATGGCTCAGAGCGCCAACAATCACACCACGTTCAAAGGCTGTTAAATCGCATTGTTTACCCATATCTTCAGAAAAAAATCACTTCTACTGTCGTGGTAAACAACCTGCTTCCCTATTTATAATGGTCTGGCCCTCTAGCAACTTCAGCGCAAAATTATAGCTAATTTGCCTACAAACGTCAGGTGGTCATAATAAACTGGCCACTGAGTGTATGTCAGTAGCAAAGCCTACACCAAACTCTGGATTTCCAAGGATAAAATAAGACAGGTTCTACCTGCATACTCCCTTAGGTGGTTCTAATCATTGACAGTTAATCTGGAAATGTAGAGGTGTACTTACTTTTTCCATATGTCAATTCTGCATTTTTCTTAATTTAGATCATGAAAATGAACACAGGTGTCCATTTAATGTCTCATTTGCTCAAGGATATTACTTATTACTGATATCTGTAAGCACTATTTAAATCAAGATCTAATGTTTAATATTTTCACATGACTGTACAAAGCGCACGGTTTTATCATAGCTATCACAATGTTTCTGCAATTTGATCATATGTGCTATTCTGTTTTTACTTTAATATGCCTTTTCTTGTTTAAAGAATATTTACCTATAGCAGATCCAGATTTTGTTTCTGCATTTTATGCTTTGGTAACTCAACAACAATCTTGATTAACACACATCTTTATTGGAATTGTCAGTCATGGACAGACATGACATCATTCAACTCCTTAAGTCCAGTTTAAAGTTTTCAGCAGAAGTATATCGATTACCTGTGGGTAAGGCAAAACACTATTTCTAACCAGTATTTAGTCACATTCTACTCACCTTGTTCTGTAATGTTGAAGACAATTTGAAGATTATCCAGTTCTTCAGCTCTAATTAGTGTCAAGAACATAACCCAGCATTGATAGCCAGATAGGCAAAGCAGCCACTCTAAACCAATCACCATGGAATGTGCCAAGGCAGATGTTGATTGTCCATGAACATGATGTGAGGTGTGAAAAGATAGTTCATCTGAGGTGGAACCCTTGAGTTTTGGTCTTAGGCTAGCAAGTCAAAGCTTGGCCTGCTGCCTTGCTAGTCTAGTTTTTGGGTTATGAGACGTCCACACGTCCTATTCATGTGGGCACTGCACAGGGTCAGATCTATGAAGTAGAAATCTCAATAAGTGAAGGGGGTCTTTTTAGAACCAACCCTTACTAGTACTTTCAATACCATCACACCTTGGAGGAGGAAACTGGTCCTGCACCAGTTTGCTGCCTTGAAGTTAACCGAGGATATGAAAACCGTTTCTGTGCCATTGCAGCAACTCGAAAAAAGCTTTTCCAGTTTGCTGCTAAAATAACTGAAGGTAGTGAGCAACACGGATTGCACCCCTTTTCAGTCAACCTCACAGCTTTCTAACTGGTTAACACAGCTGGGATATGTACCTGGCACTCATTAAAACCAAAGAAGCTCTTTGGGTAAGCAGTGAATGTCTTCAACATTATAGAATAAGGCATGTGGAATGTGACTAACTACTAATAGCTAGAACAGTGGTTCCCAACCCTTCCCTTTTTTTTTTCTTTTTCTTGTGTCCCACTTGGCAGCTCATTTCCGTATCTTGTACGTGAAAACTATTTGGGGTTAGATATCATTTTAATTGCATTCCCCCCAGGCACATAGTATTGAGTGTCTCAGGCACTCCCCCCAAAGGTCCGGAGTGACAGGAGGGGAAGCAGGGTGAGAGGATGGAAGAGGATACAGGGAAATAAGAGAGATAAGGGCGTCTTGACAGCAGGGGGAGGGTAAGACGAAGAGCTGATGAGAGTGCAGAGTAAAAGAAAAGAGTGGGTTGCTGTTGGAAGGATGTAGGTGACAGGAGGGGGGCAGTATTGCAGGAGGTGGAGATTCTCTGCAGAGGGGGAGCATGGTGATAAGAGCAGGGAGGGGGTGCTGGTGAAATGGGAGGAGGGAGTGTAAAGTGGCGAGAGATGATCTGCAGGTATGGGAGAAGGGCAGCACAGTGCTGATGCCCACACTATAGAAAAGTATGATGCTGTGCGCCACAATTACTGAATTTATTTTTTGCGTTCCCCAAGAGGTATCGCAAGTGCCTTTTCGCTTTTGGATCTCATTTTCAATTTTTTTTTTTTTTTGTTTGCTTTTACTTTAGGTTCTCATCTTCTGATTGCTCTGAACACTAGTGAGTGCCTATATCTCAATCGAAATGCCCAGAAAGCACGTTTACTTTCCCGATGGAAAGGCCATATAATTGAAAGCATTGGATGGAACAAGTTTTTGGGTAATGAGGCGTCCACAGGTCCTATTCTGGTGGGCACTACACAGGGTCAGATCTATGAAGCAGAAATCTCGACAAGTGAAGGGGGTCTTTTTGGCACCAACCCGGACCAGTACTTTCGTCACCTTCACACATTGGAGGAGGAAACTGGTCCTGCACCAGTTTGCTGCCTTGAAGTTAACCGAGGATATGAAAACCGTTTCTGTGCCATTGCAGCAACTCGAAAAAAGCTTTTCCAGTTTGCTGCTAAAATAACTGAAGGTAGTGAGCAACACGGATTTGCACCCCTTTTCAGTCAGCCTGCTAATGACCTCCCAAGTATCCAGGAGTTTCCAGGTAACCTTGGCTACAGCGAAATAGCTTTCTATACTCAAAAACTCCGCACCTATCCAACATCTTTTGCTTGGATGATGGGAAATGGAGTACTTTATGGTACGTTAGACTTCTCTCGTCCTGACTCTGTGCTGACAGATGTTCAGGTTTGGGAATACCCATCCAGTGTTGACAAACCAATGTCTATTGTGCTAACACAGTTCCATTTCTTGCTCTTAATGCCTGACAGGATCAAGGCTATTTGTACTTTAAATGGGCAGGTTGTATTTGAAGACGTGTTCACAGAGAAGTTTGGACCACTGAAAAGGATGGTAAAAGATCCTGTTTTAGGGCAAATCTGGATTCATACAGAAAGAGCAGTCTTTCGCTATCATGTTGAACGGGAGTCAAGAGATGTTTGGAAGATGTACATGAACATGGGAAAATTCGACTTGGCTAAAGAGTTCTGCAAGGACCGTCCAGAGTGCATGGACATGGTTTTGGCTAAGGAAGCTGAACACTGCTTCCATAACAAGAAATACAAAGAGAGTGCAAAATGTTATGCTCTCACTCAGAATTACTTTGAAGAAATAGCACTTAAATTCATTGAAGCAAAACAAGACGAAGCGCTGATGGAATTTCTCCTGAAAAAGCTCGCCAACTTGAAACCTTTAGAGAAAATCCAAGTTACTTTGCTAACTACTTGGTTAACAGAGTTGTATCTAAACCGCCTTGGAACTTTAGAAAGCGACACATCAAAAAGAAGCTTGTATTTAAAAACCCGTGATGAATTCCGAAGTTTCCTTAGCAGTCCTCGGAATAAAGAATGCCTCTTCAATAACCGCGCCTCTATACATGATCTTCTGGCGAGCCACGGTGACACCGAAAATATGGTGTATTTTGCCGTTTTAATGCAAGACTATGAACGAGTTGTAGCTCATCATTGCCAACATGATGATTATGATGAAGCTCTTCATGTCCTCACAAAGCATAGAGATGAAAAGCTTTTCTACAAATTTTCACCAGTCCTAATGCAACATATACCCAAGAACGTTGTTGACTCTTGGATCATGATGGGCAAAAGACTGCATCCAAAGAACCTTATTCCTGCCCTTGTTAATTACAGTCAGGGTGCTGGTACTCACATAAATGAAGCCATTAGGTATATGGAGTTTTGTGTTTATGAACTTAGGGAAACTGAACAGGCCATTCATAACTATTTGTTGTCATTGTACGCTCAGTTTCGACCAGATTCCCTCCTCTCATACCTGGAAATCGCTGGCACCAATCCCAACACAATTTACTACGACCTAAAATATGCTCTGCGTCTCTGTGCAGAACATGGACACCATCGTGCCTGTGTCCATGTCTACAAAGTTATGGAGCTATATGAAGAAGCTGTGGATCTAGCTTTAAAGGTATAGTATGGTAATCTGTTATTTTAACTAAAAATGTAATACTCCCATCTATGTTTTTCCTCTGTATGTTTTGACTGTTTGCCTGCAGTTCAGCTTTTAGGGCCCTTTTAGACATCTGAAGGGGTGTGTTAACTTGCTTTTTGTTAAGGCAGCCCATTCATTTGAATGAGCTGCTAACGGACCCAAAGGCACACCTGCACCATTTTGTCTGACTTAATGCACCAAAATTTTGTGGTGTGCTGCAACGCTGGTGCATTGGTACTGTGCTTTACCGTCCCCTATAGGTCTAAATGGCCCTTACATTTTTCCTGAAGTTTACCATTACCTGATTTGATGTCTAATAGTGAAATTCAGCAGAATGCTAAATAATCTTTTGGGTGGTATGTTAGCCTTGACACGTACATCAATGTACTATGTAAATTTGGCCAAATTACACAAAATGTACCAGCAAGGTAAAATGTTTTTCCAGCCTTCATCTGTCTGCTTTGATGGATTGAAAAGTACACTCTAAAACAAAGTGCACTTATTGGCCCCTTTAAACTTACCTAATCGATCCCACCCTTCTCGGCACCTGGCCTCTGTACCTTGTTTACATCCTGTGGCGAACATATCCCTCTCCTGGCCATGCCTACACAATACATCTCCATTGACATTTATGGACTAATCTCCCGGCTGGAGATTGAGGTAGATGAGCCCCATGGAAGTCAAAAGGGATGGGGATGTATTGCTGAACTCAGTAAGTATGCATCTGTGCAGGACAATAGTGGGTCAATTAGATCACGTTAAAGGGGCCATAAGGATTAGTGCACTTTGTTTTAAAGTGCACTAATCCTTTGAATAATCATTAGGGATGCACAGATACTTTCCGAGTACCAGTGCAGATACTTGGCATTTTCATGAGAACTACCAGGGTTGCAGCGGTCGCAGCTGGGACCTGGCTCTGGCGCTCCACCACTGTACTGAAATCATTAGTCTGTATTGTTTTAGAAAAACTGTCACATGACAACACAAATGTATCAGTACTCGTACTTGCAAAACTGGTATCTGTGCATCCCTTTATTTATATTTATAAAAACCAAAATCATACATTAAAACAGAAATGTACAAATCCCAGGAGCTCCGTGTTCTCTTTAAAAATGACAGCTGCCTCCTAACATTGGATTTTTTCTCTAGTCTAGTCTTGGAGCTCAAAAGTATCGGTACATGTACTCGTACTTGTACCGAGTACTGTACTTGGTATCTGTGCAACCCTAATAATCATGTCAAATCAATCAATAATTCATGGTTTTACTTCTGTCAGAGGACTACAGAAGGCTTGATGGTACTGCTTCCCAATAAGCTGTTTTAGGTGTGGCTGAAGGGATCTTCCTGAATGGTTAGGGGATTTCGTTGTTCATATTGTGTTATGTATAGTTACATGGGCCATACATATTAAGATATTACTTGCTCTCCCACCGGATATTATTGTGGACTTATTGTACAGATGAAGCTCATTTATCAATTTGCTTTCATCTTCTTGAGATACATTTACTATACATACACGCACAGTAATATAGTTGTTAAGGTTGTAGAAAGATTGATCTCAATACTCTACCTCCAACAACTCCCGACATATTGGTCTAGAGTTAGGTGAAACAAAACCTACATGTCATGCTTCCTCTAGCGCTGGTTTCGTTGGTACCGCTGATCTTTCCTGCCTCTCCCGTGGCTCTTCAAGGTTCCCCTTATGCAGGTGGCCCTGGGAATGGTCACAACTAGGTCTTATTTTCGGGGTAGGTCTTATATTTTAGCAGTTCCCAAAAATAGTACTAGGTCTTATTTTCGGGGTAGGTCTTTTCGGGGAAACAGGGTATGTATTGGCAGTATTAGACCACATTTATTCACCTGTATTGATTGGAGTAAGTGTTTGAAAGTCATTTTCATACAATATGGAAGAAAGAAATATTGTCGGTTTCATGGCAGTTAAACATTTTTCTTTTTACTTCTAGGTGGATGTGGACCTAGCAAAGTCTTGTGCAGATTTACCAGCAGATGATGAGGAACTGAAAAAGAAATTGTGGCTAAAAATCGCTCGTCATGTGGTGCAGGAAGAGAAGGATGTGAAGAAGGCCATGGTTTGTCTGTCCAGCTGTAATCTTCTCAAGATAGAAGATATTCTGCCATTCTTCCCTGACTTTGTGACCATTGATCACTTTAAGGAAGCCATATGCAGTTCACTTGAAGATTACAACCGGCATATAGAAGAGCTAAAGCAAGAAATGGAAGACGCTACACTGAGTGCCAAACGTATTCGGGAAGACATGCAGGAGATGAGGAACAAGTATAGCTCAGTGGATCCACAAGATAAATGCACTTTTTGTGACTTTCCACTTTTGAACCGCCCATTCTATCTCTTCCTTTGTGGTCACATGTTCCATTATGACTGCCTTATGCAGATAGTTGTCCCCAATCTACCCGCTTACAAGCAGATCAAATTAGAAGACTTGCAGAAGAAATTAGGAGCTGTGGCACAGCCTTCCAAAAGCCGCTCCCACACAAGGGATGAAGACAGTGTAAGTCTGGGCAAAGGACAACCAAGCCGGGAGCAAATCAAGGCAGACATTGACGACATTGTGGCAGCTGAGTGTTCCTATTGTGGGGAATTTATGATTCGATCAATTGACAAAGCATTCATAGATCCACAAAAATTTAAGGAAGAGATGCTCAGCTGGCTGTAGGAATTGGTTTTTCTTAAGTTTTTTTTTTTTTTCCCCATCAGGTTACTAGTGTTCAGGGCTTGAGTATCAATCCTGTGAAACAAATGTGAGTACACATGTGCTTAGTTTTTGATCACCAATCCCATTATTTTATGAACAAGACTTGTCAATGATTCAAGTGCTTCTATAGGCTGATCTCAACAGACTGCTTGCTCATGACTCAAAATCATTATTGGATGTTTTACCATATTGTGCATCTCGCCATCATGTATGAGTATTTGTCATGTAATATGTGAATGGAAAATACTGTATGAAAAAAGAATGCACAGTTTTTACCTGGTTTACTTACCTTCATAAACCTAATACAAAATGTTTATGCAACATGTTTGTCTTGAATGAATACCTTTTTTATAGAAAGGTGTGTTTCTTTGGTTTTTTATTATATATCTCTTATTTCATAGTTTTATATCCTTTAATATATTATGTTTGTTAAATGGCCAGTGTCAGGCATGTGTTTTATTTATCAGTCAGTTTAAAAATGTAAGTACTTTCCTTCCCCCAGTACTGGGTTCAGCATCTTTAAAAAAAAAAACAAAAGTCTAATGAGCATGTTATTTTAAATAGGTATATTATTGAGTCAACTACCTCTTGTGCTAGAACCACACTGTGTAACCCTCTCAAAAATGTATCATTTACAGGTACTGGGGAAAATTAGGTTTGGGAACACAAGAAATTTATTAAAATCTTTAGTGAACATCAAGCAAATCAGTAAAGGATGTCCTAGGGTCCCAGTGTTATGCACAAAAGTATAAAAATCATAAACTCAATGGATAAATTCTAAATAGCCACACTTCTCCTGCACTGGCTATAGCTCCACACTAACAACCACCCTGAAGCAACGGGTGAAGGTATGTCCTTATATCCTTCACCTGCTTTACCTGCCCTGAATTCCTCGGCCTCTGGACCGGGCAAGGAGGAGTTTATCATGGAGCCATCCCTCTCCCAATAATGGGTGCCATTTGGGACTACAAATCTGCCTTAAAGTGACAAAAAACTCTGGAGTTAAACCTTAAAAATGCATTCAAGTATCTCAACTATTAACAACAATGTATTTTATTTGTGTATCACTCAGTAGATTCTCAAATAATGTCTGAATTGGTGCGGACAATGTCCTTCCTTCTGGAGGGTGGCTACTTTTGTTCCCCATGGTCCCTGTGTGTTTTTTAAAGAAGCCACCGCTCCAAGCTCACTCCTGTGATGGACTACATTTTCATGTTTAGTTTACCAATTGGTATTTAAGATTGTAGTCCATCCGGGAGCTAGCTTGGAGCGGTTACTTTACAACACACACAGGGACCATGGGGAACAAAAGTAGCCACCCTCCAGAAGGAAGGACAGTGTCGGCACCAATTCAGAGATGATTTGAGAATCTACAGCTGAGTGATACACATATAAGTTATGTTTTTGTTTGTTAAAAGTTGGGGAACTTGAATGCAATTTTTTAAGATTTAACTCCTGAGTTTAGTGTCACTTTAACACAGCAGGTCAGGGCTGCATCGATACTAGTATCGGTGCCGATAACTACTTTTGTTCCCCATGGTCCCTGTGTGTTTTTTAAAGAAGCCACCGCTCCAAGCTCACTCCTGTGATGGACTACATTTTCATGTTTAGTTTACCAATTGGTATTTAAGATTGTAGTCCATCCGGGAGCTAGCTTGGAGCGGTTACTTTACAACACACACAGGGACCATGGGGAACAAAAGTAGCCACCCTCCAGAAGGAAGGACAGTGTCGGCACCAATTCAGAGATGATTTGAGAATCTACAGCTGAGTGATACACATATAAGTTATGTTTTTGTTTGTTAAAAGTTGGGGAACTTGAATGCAATTTTTTAAGATTTAACTCCTGAGTTTAGTGTCACTTTAACACAGCAGGTCAGGGCTGCATCGATACTAGTATCGGTGCCGATACAGAGCATTTGGTTGAGTACTCATACTCGCCCAAATGCTCCTGATGCCTATCGCAATACCAGAACTTCCGGGAACTCCCGACTTCCTGATTGCTGGCTCCATGCTCCCTCGTCACTAGAGAGCATGGTGCCAGTTTCCCGGCAATCAGGAAGCCGGCGCTGTGTAATGACTTGCTGCCCGGCTTCCTGATTGGTCGGGAAGCTGCCCAATCAGGAAGCCAGGCGACGAGTCATTACCTGCCCCCGGCTTACTGATTGGCCAGAAAACTGACTCCATGCTTCCTCGTCACCTTTTGAGCATAGAGTCATTACACATCGCCTGACTTCCTTACTGGGGCTTCCGGTATCGGCGAGTACTGATTTTTTTTTTTTTTAATTACACGATACTGAAAAACGGGTATCGGTGCATCCTTACTGCAGATCAATACAGTCCAAGTAAACTTGTTAGTGCTACAATAACGTCTACAAAAAAAATCTGCATGCGCACCACAGCCGTCGAAAAATGCATGTCAGTCAGGATAGAATGCCCCCTAGAACCATGAGAAGGAACTATGAGTCTGCAGGGCGCTTGGAGTCTGGATGACCTTGAGCATTGTTCCAGGGGGAACAACGTAAGGGTTCCCCCAACACACACAGTGCTCAACCCCAAATTAGCCCCCATTTACACCTAAATGTTTTGTCGCTGTGTTTTCTGAAGCGCGACAACACTCAACATTAAGAATCCCATTATTATCAGTAATAGCGCCCTCTCACATCTGAGCATTGTCACCTCTCATTTGTAGCTTGAAGTTCAAAAAAGACCATGAGCTTTTTTTTCAGGCAGATTTGTGTCTTTGGTCCTGTATCTTCTAATATGAGTGCCTGAAAAATGCATGCAGCAGGATTTTTTATTCATCTGTTCCTCCATTCCTTTTGTGGTCACATGTTCCAAATATGACTGCCTCATGTAGATAGTTGTCTCCAATCTAACTGCACCATTGTTCACATATCGCTATAAACTTACTTCCTCATGGAGGTCTATAAGCAGAGGGCCCCATTTATGCATTTATGTTTATCAAGTACAAGCTGTGAGACAGCAGCATCTCCTACTTACCCAGCATGGTTTCAAATAGTTGCAGATAACAAAACCTTGTTCTTTATCTCCCCTGTGGAGGTATCCAACTGGCTGCAGAGATGCCCTGGATTGACAGAATCACTATCTCAGCAGAACAGATAAGTACCCTACCCTGCATAACCTGGTCTGCACTCCCTATTTGCATTATGCTTTAGTCTATGACAACCTCCCAATTCTGCGACCAAGCAATTTTTGGTTTCTTAATACTGCAGAAAAAGGGTTACCAACCCCTTAATCAATCTGGGACACTGTGCCTGCCAGTACATTACCTCCCTGGTGTTATGTGATGTCTAAGAGTAATCATACATCTTTTTTTATATACTCGATCTAGCTGTTTATATATTTCATCACCGGTCAGCACATTAATATTTGCTCATAATCCTGTTTTATAGACTGTCCCTTCTGCTTGCCACACCCGGGGACTTGCTGCTGTTTTTCTACACCTCTGAAGGTCCCTGCTGATGTAATCCTTCCCAGATATCATCATTGTTAGTTCCCTATAGGGAGTTCAGGTATAAACAAGGCATCAAATACCTTCATCAATTACTCCAACATGGCAGTTTCAAACCTTTGACCCAATCATTGAGGAATATGTCCCATACTCCCTGGTGTCTTTCTATTACATACAACTTAAACATGCCGCAAAAGCGCAGTTGGAATTGACGGATGTTGCCCTTTCCCCAACCGCTTTGCAAAAAGTGCTTTTGCATTCTGGTCCTCGCAAACTTCTATCCTCCTTCTAGACTGTTTAGTTGAGCAGGAAGATGAGCAAATCTGAATCTGCTAAATGGAAATGGTGCTTCTTTTACCAGATCTGGTGGAGGAGAGTTGGCAGCAGTTTGAGGAGACCTACCTACCCAAATCTCTGCTAAAGATACTGTAGAGTAATCAGGCTTAAACTGTTTCACCAAGTTTTCTATAGCCCAGTAAAATGTCATGCTTTGGGCCTTCAATCACATAATACCTGCTTCAAAGATTGTCTAGAGATGGCCCATTTGATGTGTCTACCACCTTTGTTGCCAACTCCTTTGCCATTATAAAATATGTTTTCCCCCGGAAACCTGTTTGCTGGGTCTGTTTGGGGATTCTCCTCTAACTACATGCCAAAAGAAATTTGTTTCTTATCCGATATTTTCAGCTCTTAGTCGTCTCTATCGAGATCCCCACCCTTCAACTCTTCCCACGTGAATACAACAGATTATCTCTGTTCTTCCTATTTATAAACTGACCTATGAAAACAGGGAACGTCCCACCCTTTATGATAAGTTCTTGGGAATGTGAGTATCCTCTCCTCATACATTATCAGGAGCCCCTCTTTGTAATTTTAGATTGTGTGCATTCCATGTTAACAACTGACTCAAGTACTGCATACCTCTCTGTATGTTCCTGTGGCACACATGTTTTGTATGAAAAATATCTGGTGCACATTATTTCCTTTGTAATTTACAATAGACCACGTATACAGAAGTACCACATCACACACTGATGTTTTCAGCTGTGTTTATTGACCTATGATGTTCTCTTAACTTTTTTCATGCAACAAATTCAAAACAAATCACCATTAAAAGAAAACTTTTTCTGGCAAATTTTAATGTTATTTGTAAATCCGAAAACAGCAGAAAGTCCAATGATAGTGTGCACAGGATTAAAGGCATGATCATCTGATGAATGTCTCCTCCTTATCTGTATGTGACAGAATCACTGGATTTGCAGAGAAAATATACCTGAAAGGGATTTCTGGATGATGCACTTCATGTTTTGTAGTACTGCTCTTTATTCAAGTGATTCCCAGTCTGAGCAATTAAAGTACCAGATTTCTTGGGATACATATCTTAAGCAGTTTATGTATACTATGCTTGGTATTTACAAACTGCACTTCACTCTAGAGATTCTACGTACAGATTTGGGTGACATAGCATTTCTCTATTTGCTTGATTGCATATGTTGTTTTTCAG